ATATATATATATATATATATGTGTGTGTGTGTGTGTGTGTGTGTGTGTGTGTGTGTGTGTGTGTGAAAATATATAGAAAATAGGAAAGAACTGGTTAGGTAAATAATCCAAAGTTTTTTAGTATTTTGTAATTATTTTTTAAAAAAGTGCTCGATACAAAAGTATAGCATAAATATAATATATATATATATATATATATATATATATATATATATACACACACACACATATATATATATATATATATATATATATATATATATATATAAGTGAGAGAAAGAGAGAGAGTGAGTGAGGACGAACTATTAGATTTTGATACTGCTAATCACGGTATGGAGGTTCGAAATTCAAAAATTTGGAAAATTATTAACCAATAAAAAACTGCGTTTACTAAATCTAACTTTTAAATACCTGGAGCCTATTTCTTTGTTATAAATACCATCGCTTCAATTTTCTCAATTAGTATTCAATTTTCAGTTTTTTATGGAAAACTTTGAACAAGGTTAGGCACAATATATTACACAAAGCTTTCGTATAATTAATTACTGAACATTTCACGTAATTTATCGAGTAACCACGCGATTTTTAACAAGCGTAGGGAATTAGATAAACAATCTGATATTAGTAGTTATAACACAACATCGTCTGCTGGAATAATAACTACTACAAAATTACGCGCATTCATAAAACAGCATAAGTACGTCGCGCACTCATTATGTAGATAAATTGTATTTCTTTTAGCATGCTAACGCAATTTATTCTGTGGTGTTGTAAATTACAAAAGAAAAACTATTTTTGTGAGACATTGTTTCGCAAAGATATTTCTATTTCTTTTCTTTCAATCTGAAAAAAAAAATAAATACTCAATAATTTTTTAAATTTGTACCGTTATGTTGGAAGATTGTTTATTTCTTCACTTTTCACATGTTTCTTCCTCGACACACACACACACACACACACACACACACACACACATATATATATATATATATATATATATATATATATATATATATATGGAGAGAGGGAGAGAAAGAGAGAGAGAGTGAGATAGATTTATTAGATGTAATTTGAACAATAATATTTTGCTATTGCTACTTGTTACATTAATATAGTCTCCTCGATATATTGGGGTTCGATTCCCAGTTCGCAATAGCACCTCACTTTGTAATATTTTTCATGCCCATTATTTCTATCTCTGCTGAAGTAGAGCAACTTCTCAACCGGTATCTTCGCTCTGTTGGCATTGTCAGTGCTAAAGATGCCAGGAAGACAAATTAAATGTTTAAGACCATTAAAGAGATGGATGAAAATGAGGGGATTGATTATCCCATTCGTTTTCCTCAGCCCAATTCCTAGGCAACCCTTACCCGTAACCTACCCACGTACAAAACTATTCTATCCTCTAAACCGTGGCATTTGCAGCCGGCAACGACGACTTTATTTTCTTGTTTAAGAGATTACGACAAATCTTCTTGCACCTGCCGTCGTTGGTATAATCCGATCAAAGACCTGAGTCATTGCATAGCAGCCTCATTTCTATCCTCTGTCGACCTCGTCACTGGCCGTCCTTATCCTCGTCACTGGGCAAGCTTTTCATTCTTCTTACCTATTACGACAAAAAAAAGAAGAAAAGCCCGGCTAGTGCCCGCGTCTTTTATTCTATATCCCATTCTCTCCCCAACGCTAACGAGTTGTTACTTCCCCCACTTTTTGTTTTGTTGCCTTGTCGCTTCAACGTTCTCGGACGTATGATGCACCTGCTGTTTTAATTGCAATAATGACCATCTCAAATGCCGGCTGTGAATAAAAAGGCCGCAAAAGAAAGGAAACTATTGTTTTTTTTTTTTTTTTTCTCGAGTAGACAAATCATTATTAGTCTCAGTAGTAAGTAGAGGCTGAATGTACTAAGAAAGGAAAAAGTGACAGTAACAGGAAAATGACTCAAATCAGGCGGCAAAAAATAATGATGAAAACGAGGCTCAGCACCGGTTGATACCAAAAGGAAAAACTGTACACATCAGGAAGGGAAGAAGTAGCAACGAATAACGTATCGAAAATCCTGGACTTTTCCCTATGGTATTTGCATATTTCCCACAGGCAACACTTTCCAAGCGAAGATCGTTAAAAAATGGATTTCGAATGCTGAAGTTTTTGACATGAACTATGAACTTCTCTCTATCTGGAGTTTAGGTTTAGTAAATACCGATACAGTATTTTTCCGTTTCCATCTGAAAGCAGATCAACTTAACTGCCCGGAAAACTTGATTTGTTTAGGAAAGACAGAATAATCTGGAATATTTACTGGAAACAAACGGTCTGTGTACGACTTTCAATTTTCTGATCAACTTCTTCTATGTACGGTGTCCCTTCAGGACGTAGGCGATCATAGCTCTCAATAATAACCTGTTTTTAGAGCTTAATATGTTTTTTTGGTTTTCTATCAACTTGTGAGAAGGCGCATTTTGGTCTTTTTGTTTTCTTTTCAACAGAAGCAAGTGAATAAAAGAATTAAGATGTAAAGGAAATGAAAATAAACAGAGAAGACTAACAGGATTTAAGGAGACGGAAGATGACGATTGCCATTTGATCAGCGAGCGTAAGACGGCTTGACATCTGAAGGAACTTCCACGAATACTCGAACACGTGCACGGTGGATAGCGGCATGGTTTGAGGAATCGGAGAGCCGAGTTCGAATTCCAGTCGAATCCATTACATTCACTTACGTGCTAATACCCTTGGTGTGAATTCTCTTCTTCTCCCTCCAGCTATGGGTAAACAGCAGGGCAGACTGGGTTCTATAGCCTTGGGTGGCAACTGGTCTAGGAGAAGGAAAACTCTGAATTCAAAACCTGCGGAGGGTCGTTTGGGGACCTTGTGGCACGTAGTGCACCAGGTCTCTGTAATCGGCCCTTCAAAAAGTGTGGATGGTCCTGCACGAAAACCTCACCACTATAATCAAATCTTATGTGCTATATATGCGGGTTGGGGACCGCTTGTGAATTCCAAATTCCCATGAAACTCCAATATTGGAGCCGGTTCAACCCACCCCTGGGCGAATGCCGTTACAGGTACAGGAACACGTGCAAACTCTATTTCACCAGCACATTCAATATTATCAATACGTTTACTCAGGTGTAGAGTTTTCTATTATCATCAATATATCAATCCATATTGTCATCCTGATATTTCGTTCTCCCAAATTAATTTGACATATTACCTCTTTCATACGAAGCTTCCACTTGCATGTGGCGTATCTCTTCAGTATGTGGATGATCATGTCTCGCCCACTATCTCCATTTTCTTGTAGCCCTTAGCAACGTTTACACCTTTGTAACCCCACACGTTGCACCATTTATTCACAAAAGCTTCTAAGGTAGGCTACCCGCTATCTACTATTGTCTCTCATGATCCTTCCTATTTGTGTATCATAGAAATTTATTTGTCTCTTGCAGAGTATTAGTGTCCATTTTGTTTCCATTTTCGTTAAGAATCCAGTTTTTCTTACGTCACTGTCATTCCCAGAATGCTTCTGTAGAATATTTATCCTGCCTCAAGTCATATCTGACGAAATAGTTCATCAATCACTGACATATAGGAGGGTTTTTATTACACAGCAGTTCAGTACGTCTAACGAAATAAGTCCTATAAAATGGCGGAAGAACTCTTGTGGAGTAAACGGCCAGCTAACTAGATCTGATGACTCAATAAATACAACTAGGAGACGGCAACTGAATCAAATCAACCATCAATCCCAGTAACAACCTGACGAAATAATGATTTTTCTTTTGATTTTCCATTGTATTAAATTCATTGATTTGCATCTAGTTTGGTGCGGGAAGTTCGCGTGGTTTGTAGAACTTCACATAAATTCACAAACTTCGAGAACTTTCCTTTCAACAAAGTATCTTCATTTGATACTCCACTAGTTTTGCCTTGTGGCTCAATTGGTTGAACCTTCACGATTTTTTATGTTTATCAGGCTGCGATATTTTCTGGCATGTAAGATTTCCCTAATTTCATAAAATATTACATTACCTTCTATTGATTCTGCGGGTAATGCACGGTGACTGGGTAAACGTTAGCCTTCTAGATAGTTTTCGTTTAGGTATTGTAAATTCAATCCACACGTGGAACCCGGGGTGGGGGCGCTGGGAACTTTGCCAAAGTATGGTAAGCGTGTTTAATGGTCGTTGGGTACTTATCCCGAGGTGTTGGTTTAGAGCCCCGGTAAAATATTGTTATATATCTCCTACTAAGTTTACAGAAAATCCAGCTCACTTCATTTGAATAAAATAAAATAATCTATCACTTTCTTGCTCTTCTTGTGCCTCACTTGGCGAAGATATATATATATATATATATATATATATATATATAGATAGATAGTAAGATATGCGAAAGGTTTAATATTAATACCGTACTTTCTTGTGTATAATACCATTTGAGTAAACTACGATCCTGTAATATGTCCATACATTTTGAAAACTTGTATTATATTATACATTAAAAACTCAATGCTACCCGGGGTTACGTCCCGAAAATACCTTTCCACTAGAGCGGCTAGCCAATCTCTATGGCGGACGATTGCCCAGGCGCATTTGTGTTTATTGCACACCCACAGAGTCCATCTGTGGTTTATACTGCAACTATACTGAGCAAACCATAGTAACATCTGAGATACTCCGTGTCATCTAGCGTGATCAACAATTTGAACAAGGCCAGCACGCTCAGGACCTTAGACACGATGACTTGTTACTTCGTACTAGAACAGCTATGGACGACACCCAAGGGTTCCGTCTACCCAATTTCACTCACAAGGCTTGGGTCAAAGCGAAGTGGTTTTCAGGCACTTTCCAAAGATACCGCACGCTTGGATCGACCCCTCCAGTCTGATAACATCAGGAAGTCTCTTTCCTGACAAATCGACCATGGTAAGATTCGAACCCGGTTCTCATAGTCAGAATGCGAACCACTCGGCCACGCGCTCATATCGCGCTTACAGCCATAGCACGTAACACTAGTTATCGTATGATCACCGAAGTTAAACAAGGTCGAGCCTGGTCAGTACCTAGATAGGTGATCGCTTGGGAATACCAGGTGCTGTAAGCTTGGATGTGCGAGTGGTGTAATAGATAACCACTCGGAATTGAAAATTGCAGAGCCGAGTTCCAAATCTATTTAGACTTATTATATTACGCGCTAACATCCATGAGAATTCTATGAATTCACCTCTTCCTTTTTCCGCTATGGGTTAATTAGTAAAACTGTTATCACTAAATCATGATCTCCAAAAAATTTTATAATCTAAAAAAAAAAAAAAATGCTGATAATCCGTAAAACACAAAAAAAAAAATGTGCCGTACACATGTTTAATGAAAACATTTAATTTTAACGATATTAAAAATTAGAAAAAAAACTTGATATTTAGCCATTACGTTTTTCTTCTCCTAATTTCCGTTTCGAAACTTATTTTCAAATTTTCAGGAAAATGCGGTAACTAGACCTACTTGGTATTACATTTTAAGGTGTTAATTAATATATAATTTTCTGTTTGATATTACTGTATTATATTTCTGTAAATTAGTGAACTATGAAAATAAAAAAAATATATTTTCTTTCAAGAATGAACAGAGAAACTATAATATAAACAAATTTTATCTTGTGAGCACAACTGAATTTATTTGCAATCTTGCTGTTTCAAATGAGACATTTTTTTTTAAGTTGTGTAAAATTTTCTCAAAACTTGTACTTGCCTATATTACGACCCGGTGTTTTTCCTTTAATTTTCGTTTAAAATTTTGTTTATTATACACAAGAAAATGCAGTAATGATAATGAAATAATTTGAAGACATTCAGGAAGAAGAGAAGATATTGTCAAGGATGTGAGAATTAAGTGCTTTTTTTTTTGTTTTCATACATTTTTAAAAGGATGAATAGTTTTGAATTTCGTAAAGAAAAACAACGCCTTAATGGCATAACTCAATTTCCGGTAAGCTCCATAATAAAAAGAGACCTTAAATTTCAAATTTGTTTAGTGTTATTACTAATGAGTGGGAAGGAAATATGAATCAAGAACAAATTAATTGAAATAGGAAGAAAAGAAAATAGAGAAAAAGCAAGATATTCTAATAGAAAAAGAAATGGAATGGGAGAATAAGCGAGAAAGAGAGAGAGAAGAGAGAGAGAGAGGGATAGGTAGACGAAAATAAACGGAGAGAAAAGTGCCAAAGGAAATGGACAGTATGCATAAATGTTACGTTAGAAGTAAAGGAAATGAAACTGAAAGTGAAAGTGAAAGTGAAAATGATTCAGCGTTAGAAATGTTTGAAGAAAAATGATAGAGGGTGTAATGTAAAAGAAAATAAAAAAGATAGGACTCATAAGAGAGAATGATTCAAAATGTAGGTGTAAAAATGATTGACAGTAAAGGAAAAGAAAATAGAAATCGGGTGAGGTAGTGTGAGATAAAGAGATTTCGTACAATAATAGAGAATGAGGTGAAGATAATAAAAGAGGAAGTAAGTGAGAGAAATGCAAAAGGAAAAAGAGAAAGAAAGAAAGAAAGAAAGAAAGAAAGAAAGAAAGAAAGAGAGAGAGAAATACGAAAATAAAAATAAAAAAGCAAGTGAGAGAATCGCGTAACGAAAAAGAAGTCATAAAGCAAGAGCCAGCTGATAAAAGAAAAAAGACAGATAGAAACTAGGGAGATGATAAAAGAAAGGAGTTTGTGAGAGAGAAAGTGAGATAATAAAAGTGAGAGAATGCGAGAGATGTTATCATAAAAGAAAGAGTAAAATAAAGGAAAGCGAAACGGGGAGAGATAATAAAATGGAGAAAGTATTTAAAAAAAAGATAGAGAAAAAGAAGAGAAATAGTGAGTGAAACAAGAAATGGGGAAAGCAAGAAAGATACAGTAAGAGAAACTAAGGGCAATAGGGAGATGGCAAAAGATGCCAAAGAGAGTTGACTAGAGATGAAATACTGGTGCGTGTTTGGTTGGGGTGTCGGGATCGAATGCTAATCCCGACTGATACTCATCATGAAAAGAGTCCATGATGAACTAACGAATAAATAAATCAGTATGGCGCTTTTAAATGTCGTCCCCAACGCGCTAATTGAGGAAGTCGCCATTAGTGGGCACTGTCCAATACACACCACCTACTTGACCACCTGCAGAGGGCGCAAACTCTCCTCGTTCGCCATGACTGGACGATGGGCAGGAAGCGAAGAGCGTTGGAGTCGGGGTAAAAATTCAGTTGTATGGAATGGGAAGAGAAGCGCCTGGTAGAGAGAAATTATCCAACAGACTCTCATAAAACCTTGTGGCTGAAACATCTGCGTTTTAGTTTATCATTTTTGCCAGAAACTGGTCGGGACTTCCAGAAAACAGTCTGGTTTACTAATGCCGACGGATGTGCGGGTGGTGTAGTAGTTAACGGCTCGGAATAAGAAATCAAAGAGGCAAGTTCGAATTCAAGTAGCAAATAACCTTGGGAATGGTGTGAATTCATATTATCTCCACGCACCACTACCAGGTGTATCGGACTTGTATCTTGAAAAATTATTGTTGTTCTTAATAAACTGTAAATGAAAAAAGAGAAAAAAAGAAAAGAAATTATTCTTACAATCCAAAATATGTTTTAGCTTTAAATAACTCACAAGGGGTGGATAAGCTGTAAAAAATAGAATCAGTGAATCTGATACCGGTTATCTATGCAAGCATGCCTGTGTCATTTTCTACATTGGTGCAACACAATCTTACAGTTATAATCTGCCTCTATAGTATATTGTTTCGCCCGACACTTACTATATATTTCTCTAATAATTAACTTCATGGCTAAAATAGTTCCCTGCTTTACACCAGTGCCAGACATCAGCAAGTCTTCGAGAGCGAATGAAATGAGATGATTTTCAGACAAATAAAACAATGCGGTTATTAATTCACAACTTATTTTGTCAGCAACGCTTGCGTTAATTCCACATCAATGACATTTTCGATCTAATATTAAAAACACTCTATAAAAATATTATAAATCTGTACTTATTTACTTAAAGTATTTACATCGTTTGGACTGTTGTAATATCTCTATTGTTATATACACGACGTTTCAGACGTTGTGCACTCTGGACTTCTTCAGATGATATACAAGGAAATTTTGAGCGGAACCCTTTATTTTGATGATGAAGTAGATTTAACTCACTATGTCTTTTCTTGATATCTCATTTTCAGTAAATGTCCTTTAGTAACTCAGTTGCCCAAGTTTTTGTTCACCTATGCCGTAGCCAGGTATTGAACCCACATCTCTTTGATTAAAGTCACTGGATTACTTCAATTTCTTTTATCCACTAGGCCATATATTTATTTATATATTTCTTTTGTATTTATTTATACATTTCCTGTCCTATCTGTAGTAGGATGTGAGTTAAATCAAGTTAAGTAAATTTATCAGTGATTATGTCCCTTAATCGTTTGCAAATGAAATATTTAACTGCATTTACATAAAATTACTTCCAGAGATAAAATAACAACTTAATTAGTCACTTCAATTGCGCCTACGTTGCTTAGATTACAGTCTTATTTGTTCAAGCCTTTCATGTGAGGCACTGAGATATCTTTGTCTATTAAGTGATCGTCTTGCTTCAACTTGAAATAGGTTTTGTCGTAGCTGCATTTGTCGTTCTGTTGTTAATCCTTTTCTTCCGAGAAATATTTCTATTATATTAAACACATACAACCTTTAACATGAAAAGACATTGAGCAAACATTGATTTCATATAATAACATGAGTAATCAATGTATCACAGATATCATTAAACATCTAAAGAATAAGGAACGAGTTCTTTTAAACTGTTCATAAGCCTCTATTTTAGTTGTGAATTCTTTATCTCCACGTTATTGATGGTCAATATATTGTTTATAAAGTTCTGGTTCATTGCATCTCACTGTCAAAATTTCTAACAATTGCCGTCATTTTTGACGGCTCAGTACACTAATTGGTTGCTTCGTTGGTTTTGTTTCGCGTCATATCAAACTATGTGTTATTTAATGCTGAAATGTAAATATTTTGGACACAATTGTATGGCTTCAAATGAATATATTTTGAAAGAAATTGTATGTCTTCAACTACAGATAAAACGTACTTTTGATCAGTTTACTATAAAATATATTGTTGGTCATTTTACTATAAATTTGTATTGTTGGTCATTTTGTATAAATATGTATTGTTGGTCATTTTGTATAAATATGTATTGTTGGTCATTTTGTATAAATTTGTATTGTTGGTCATTTTACTATAAATATGCATTGTTGGTCATTTTACTGTAAATTTGTTTTGTTGTTCATTTTACTATTAATTTGCATTGTTGGTCATTTTACTACAAATATGTATTCTTTGTAATTTTACGACCAATATGTATGGTTGTTTTTTTTTTTTTTAAATATATTGCTGCTATTTGTACTATAAAAATGTGTTTTTATACCTTCATAGTGTTTTTTTTTATGTTTGGGAGTTCCCAAGTTGGGACCCTAACAGGTGCTAACACCTCGGGTCTGTAGCAATTAGGATGTGGTACCATGCTTATAAAACCTCCAATTTCCGGATCAGAGGGCTTGCTGTTGAATGTAGTTTATCGTCATATCCAGGACTAAAGTGCTCAAAAGTATTTAATCTGTGGTGTCATAAGTATATACTGGGTTCGTTTTAAGTGAACCCACATTAAGCTTACGAGTCAATGTTATATCAAAACGTCAAAAGTTCTAAATTGTTGCACAGCTACCAAATGCTGAAGAGGCATCAGAGGATGCCGGTGGGCTCGCCAACGTAAACACGATGTTAACCCAGACTAAATTAAGATTCTATATCTTAACACAAGTTACATAAACACCAAGAACGACGCGGATGAGATAGAGTCCCTCAAAAACTTACGAGGAGAATATCAAACATTCGAAGAAGGTTCCAGAAATAATATATTGGGTTTGTTAATCGATGTTAATTAGACAGAGTGCAAATGGTATTTGCTTTGTGTGATGAAGGGTGTTCCGATAACTTGGACCGATTTTAAATGTGACCCAAGTTTAAGCGTCTAATGACTTTTTCTTTCCATTT